CGTGCCCGTCCACCGGCGGGCGACCGTGGAACGGCGAACTCTGTCGGCTCGTGCAGCCGGCAGGCAGCTGCCTGGTCTCTCCAGCGCTCAACGAAGCGCATCGTTTGCGTCCGAACGCGAGCCTTCGGCAAAGATCGGAGCCCGGAACAAAACAACAAACGTGGGGTACGCGCCGGCTGTTCACTCCCCACTCTGAGGTCTGTGAGTACGCCATCACATCCGTTCCTCTTAAGCCGTTGGCTTTCGTCTTAACCAGCGAAAATTCAGCTTGGTACGCACGTGCTCGACTAACGCGCCCGACATTATTCTTAGCACGTATTCCGCCGAATCGTGCCGCTTCCTAGCATTTCCCACCTCCGGGCCGGGAGAACATTAACAATTAAATCGTTTAATAAGCCTCAGCAAGTCGAGCTAAACCATCAGAATATTTATGCTCGTTACGCCTCGTTCCGCTTCGCATTCAACATTATCTAATTTACTTTTTTAAAAAAAACAAGAAGACGAGAATAAACACACATGCATAAAAATTAGTTAAGGGAAACTTTACAGACGTTTGTCTTTCTCTTTTAAAAATGTATAGTAATTTTTACACTACTTTTAAATTATATTTGTTTATTGTTTAATTCTAATAAAAACGATCACGTTGAAACATTATGTTAACAAAATAACATTGTGTTTCTTTATGAAAGCATTCTTTCTTACAACAGGTAGACCTTCTATAAAGTAAACTTTCCACAGCAAGATGTAACAAAAAAAATAAGAGGGCGACCTAAAGGAACATCTGTCATCCATAAAATATTTCACATGGCGAGATTCGCCGACGAATGAGGATATCGAAACACTAAATAACTTGATTATTATATAATCATCACAGTTGAAAGCAATGCAATGTTACTTACTTTATGCTCTACCGCTTTTTCTTCCAGTTCTGGCAAAGTCCAGTCCATGTGGAAGTCCAAAGGTTGAAGACGCGATTCCATTTCTCGTAACCATTTTCGTAAACATTTCACTTCACGTTCAAAATCTGTTGAAACGAATCGATTACATGTACATTAATAAGCCACGTAAGAGAAGGAGAAGAGGGGAATGTATATTTTGTAAAGAAACAATTATCCATTACCTGCTGATATATCTTGTTGACTAGATACAGGTCGGTCTATAGGTGCCATAATTTGCTCAACTAATTCCCATCTTGCATTTAAATGATCTACACGCCACGCCACTTCGTCTTTTAAAGCAGGGGCACGAGAAATTAATTTTTCTGCTTGCTCGTTGAACAATTTGCGTCTGTATGCCTTGCGTCGCAACTCTTCCATATGAGCCTAATTAACAATCCATTCAATTTTCAACATTATTTTAATGCAAGATTTACTTTATTTTATATTCTAAATACGACAAAGAATCAATGATACATACTGCACGCAGGTTTTTGTCCAAAAGATTTTCTTCCTTGGAATAAACCACTTCCTGAAGAACCCATAACCATGAGTAAAGCTCTAAAAATTGATTGCTGACTTCCTTCAAGTTCCACGATTGCGTCGACACGTCTGTTTCATCCCATGTTAATTCACCATTTGCTTCCTGAAATTATTGAAATAAAATATATAATCTCTCTGCTATAATCTCTCTATTTAAATTTAAGAAAAATTTATGTCAAGCTTACTTTACAAGTTTCGATTAAATTAGTATCCATAATATAATCATAATTAGATTGTATAGCTGCCCAAAATTCATCTTTGCAGTCTTCATAGTTTATCCACATTCTTTGAACATTCATTTGCTTTGGATCTTTCCTGAAATTGGATTAATATGATGTGACTCAAATAAAATGAGCATATATGCATATGATTAAGCAATGTATACAATTAAATGATGCACATGCATTAAACAGCAATCTATCATGACTAATACTAATGACTAATAATAACAGGAACAAACCTTTTCTTGGTAAGACTGTTGTACAGTCTTTCCGTCGTTGTTCTGACATGTCTCTGCCTTTCCAAGCTTTGACTATTTGGTTGAAGTGACGTTAGTGAGGTACTCATCCTTTTTGCCTTGTGGTAATCTGCATTCCAAATATATCAAACGTAATAAGATTATCCTTATCGACTTATAACAACATTATGCAAAAATTATACATTTTCTTAATTTTTTTATACAATAATTCGGTGTCCAATAAGCTGATGTGTCATATTAGTACATTACAAACAAGAGTGCATTTTGTATCGCGAAGTGATTTCTTGCGTAATACCAAAATTCCTTTTAAGGTATGCACATGTTGCTCCAAGAAGGAGAAGGGATTTGCCAAACCGCGGGGGTAATTTGTTTGGATATAACCCTACTTGAAACGCGCGAAAGCACTCTCGAGCGCTAAAATAGCAACGCGGCGCGAACGTGCTAATTTCAGACAGAAAAAAAAAGGAGAGGAAAGTCGCGGAGCGATTCAACTTTGCCATTTGCCTGTCGGTCGAGAGATAAGGCCGTGCGAAGGCGGCGTGCGACGCAGATCGGAGGAAGGAGCAATGCTCACCCGTTTTGTCGACAGTCATCGGGGTCCCCGATTATGTTGATCCGGTAGCGCGCATCACCGCTACCTTCTCGCTGACGAGAAACCGGAGAGCTTCCGCTGGACGTCGGTGGCTCGCACGGGGTCGATGGTGGGATATCCGCGCACACATTCGTGTGACCGAGGACACACCTGTCGTCGCCACGCGGGGGGGAATGTCACCGGGCGACGAAAAATTTCATCGCTCGCGAACGACGACGACGATGATGACGATGATGACGATGACGAATGGGGCAGCGGCCGGGACTGCGATCGCGCGACGCTATGCGGACGACATAACCTTCCCCCGGAGCCACGCGAAGCTACGCGAGATCCGGTTCCGGATCCCGGGAGTTCCCACGGCGACAAAGAGTCGCCGCATACCAACAGCAGCCCCGTCCTCGGTGGGACACTCGACGCTCCTCGTCTACACGACGACGGCAACTTCGCTCACATTCGGCTATGTTGGAGCGCACCTCCCGGGGGATGATCCTCGCCACCGGGCCGCACCGCGTGAATTCGGAATTTATCGTCCTCCCGCGCCTCGGCGACACGGTTAGCTGTACACTCGACTTCACGGATGAGGCCTCACCGCGTTCCTCTGATAAGCATTTTCGTAGCACGTAATATCCCAGTGAGAGACCCGCAGGTGCAGCGAGTGCAGGTGCGGCGCCGACTAACGGAAACCCTCCGGACGTTTCGACGGGGTGGCATCACCGATGAACGGTAAAACAGTCCGTCGACGGCGATCTAACCTGTGAGCTACGTGGATCTTTGACCGTCGAAAAGAATAGTGCATGAAACGTCAAAAACATGACAACGACGAATTATTTAGATTTGGACATAAACAAGCTGTTCGAGCAGCACACCATCAAAGAGATCGAGGAGATTCAAAAGAAGATTCAGCTGGAAAGCGACCGGAAGAAGCTAGAATTACGAACTCTAGTTGGGTAAGGCTTGTTCATTGGGTTCAATTTTCCTTTCAAATTGTTAAAATACCATCCATCAGCTTGACATTTATCATTTAAGTGCTTTACAATTTATTGAGAAAAATTGAATTTATTAGATAATTACATTAGATCCTTAAGAAAGAAACTCTGTGTCAGAGTTTTATCTTGATTTTCAGAGAAAGATATCGAGATTTGATATTGGCTGCTGACACAATTGGAAAAATGAAGATAACATCCGAAAAAGTTATTGCAAGAATTGCTAATATAGAAGATAAATTTAGGGAACTGCAAAAGAAATATCTCATTGGTTTCAAGACAGATCCAGTGGAGGATAACCTGGACAAGTATTTCTTTTTTTCATATAATTGTGATCTGTATATATCATATAGATATATATAGAATAAAAAATTTATATCAATATATGTTGGAATCTAAATTGTATTTTTTTAGAAGAAGACATGTTCGGGATTCCATAATCATCCAAATCAAAATCCTAATGGACATTCCACAGTATATCTGGACAAGCATCGAGAGTCAAAATTTATTACTTGCTACACAGTTGTATATAGTAGCGCAGCATATAAATTATAGTTTAATGTTTGAAGTTGGTAGTGCTGAGTTATCGAGTAAATATCCAATTGTTTCCAAGCAGTGGGATGTTATTATGCAGTTTAAGAACATCATATCTAACGAGTGCAACAAAATTTTGCAGTCGTTGGATGTTTCAACTATAGTTGGTATACAAATTGTTGCTTATCTTGTGATATTTAATTGTTAGTTACTAACAATACATTTGCTTTACAGAATGCTGCAAATTGTTTGGCATCTCTCGTATTTTTGAATGAGTCATCGTTTACAGATCTTTTAGAAAGATTAATATCCACGAGGTGCTGTGCCATTGAATCTGTCATCAAAGGAGAAAGTCACGATAGTGTCAAAAATAAGCTGAAGTCATGTATGAAGATACTTATACAAACTGTCCATTTAATATATTCGTGTTTTATAAGTAAGTGTTTTATTTGTTTAACAATTATAATACAACAGATAAAATTTTACATGTGATTTATATTTGATGTATGTGATTATAGATGCAGATAATGCTCCTGGAGGCTTAGTTTTACAGTTTATAACAGACATAAAAGATCAAGAAGCATATTCTTTACTATCGCAATTGGATTTGGATCAAAATTTATTCGAGGAATTCCTGCCATCTGTTACTAAACATCATAAACCGTTTGTTCAGGATATACCAAAAAGCTTTTCTCTATCGACACTTCAAAATAGTGTTAAATCTTGGTTGGAGTGGGTGAATGATTTTTCTAATCATGAAGTTACCAAATTATTAAATTTAATAGTTTCTATTAAAGGCCTGTATAACGTTCGGGAAGAAGCCATCAGTGTAAATCTACCTGAAAATTGGAATTCTATATGGGAAGAGCTTTCCTTACCAAGAATAAGTTTTTGGATGGAATTCTTCCAGCCTATTATAACTAAACGAGTAAAATGTAATTACATTTACATATAGAAGATTTACATATAGATAATGATTCCATTTGTTTTGATAATTAATAGTGATTTGTCAACAGGTATTATAACAAACAAGTGGATGGATACGCTATCTGATTTAAAATCTGATATAGTAGAATTACTCGATAAAGTAGCGCATGATAAATTCGAATTTCCGGAACACGATTTACGATGGTTCGTGTGGAAAGACTCCCCCACCGACATTCCACAAAAACTTACAAAGACTGGTGGATTAGATAATAAAAGATCCTTGCTGATGAAGGCTAAGGGATATTCTCCAAACATAGTGAAATTGTGCGAAAAATTTGATGAAAGTTTGTACGCGCTATTGTCCGATCTTGAGCATTATTTATACGAGACTGAGCGAGTAATAACAATCAAAGACAGCTTGCTTTCGGCGAATATATCTTTAATTGCGAATTCGTTCTCCGATCGTAATGAAGTCCAAGAACATTTGCAAGTAGTTAGCACCGAAAAGATCGAAGATCTCGTCCAGTTTCTAAAAAATACCTGTGCTAACGATAAACCGGAACATGGTCAAAGCGATATAAACGCTATAGTACTGGCAAGATTTCTTTTTGCATTAACTACCTTGTGCCCGAATTTAAATAAATGTTTTACATCGTCGAAAGTATCCGGGCTTGCTATCACGAACGTTAAGTGGCAAGCTGTTTGTGATAATCTAAAGGAAGAAAGTATTTGCATGTGGTCCATTTGGGCTAATGTATATAAAGCGAAAATATCTGAACATATGAAGAAATTTATATTAAGAGAGCCGCTCGATGGATTGCGCGTTCATTGGATCGTCTCGGAATGGGAGAAAGTTACTATCGAGGAAGAATCCGGAGAGGGGAAACGAATAAAGTCTGAAATTTTAATACCTTATCAACCATCGATACCTTTGCAAAAATTCTTGACCGCCATCTGCAAAGATTTAAATAAAATTATACCTCATACGCTTCCAAAGTAAGTAAATAATGCAACATCATCTGATGAAGATTAATATATATTTAATATATGTTTTCCAATTTTAGGAGAGTACTGCAGCAAATTATCGAAAGCATCATTACAGAATTATTTAATTATTATCTCAATGCGTTTAAGAGTATAGATCTCAGACAAAAACAAGCATTTCAAGTACTATACGATATAAGATATTGTACGTTGCTCATGGTGCCTCATGAAAACAAAGTTCTTAATGAATTATCAATCAAAACATGCGACGCAATACTTGCGAAAATAGATCCGTTCGATTATGATGTCTTTAATCCGTTCATTCACACCAATGTTAAAAAATCTGTTCAGAGATCTTTGGTTAGTGTAATTATCAAGACATGAAGCTAGAGGCTCTTTGTGCGATTGCGATGAGATTTATTTTATTTTATGTTTCTAGTTGATATTTGGAAACCTGGTGAGTCATTTAGAACAATTACATTCGACATTGGGGGCACGCAATGAACATGCAAGCAGTGACAATGGAAGAACTGAACCACCTGCAGTGCTCGCAGTTTGTACAGGAGCACCATGGTTCCCGCCGTTAACTGTAACCGCACCGACGAGAAATTTGCCAATTTTATCTGTGCCGATATCCGATAAAACACAAGTATGTACCGAATATTCTGATATTTTAAATATACGATTAATAGCAATATTATCAAATTGAAACAGTTAATTGTTTTCTAAATAAATATATCTATATTACATAGATTGTTTCCTTTGAATGAGATAAAAAAAATATCACGAATATGTAGATTTGGTAAGGCGATCTTGCATGGTGTGACTTTGGATTAACTTAACTAATCAATTTTGAATTAACGTGATTGCAACTCCATCATTCTTTTATGTTGTGTTGCTCATTACTTTTATTTTAAATGATAAAAATGAAAAAGTATTTTAATGCAATCACATTACGTCGAGTTTGATATCAGAAAATATAATTATAACTTAATATGGAAAATATAATTATAACTTAATATAACATCAAAATGTAATCAAAATAACAATTACAGAGCTACATTTTGAACATAATTTAATGAGTGTTTCTACAGATTCTTATTTTGGCGAAGTCGCAGATGTTAACACATTATTTACGAATATATAATCAATTAAAGAACAATTATCTTTTGCATTAAAATATGCATTTATTTACAGCGTAAGAAAGTAACGAAGGAACATACGAAAAATGAGTCTACCAGTGCAATAAAATCCGGAGCGGCCGCGTTTTTCGGTGCAATGGGATCAGATTGGTTCGGCAGTAGCAATTAACTATTTTTTTTATTTTTAGAAAGATTGTAAATATTGTCATATGTCATATATTGTAAATAATATATTAGTAAAGAATATCTTTTTACCATCTATTATCTGTTTTATACCATTTAAATAATGTATAAATATGCATTATATAAAGTTTAATAGAAAATGCTTGAAGTCTGAATACAATTGATTTACATCAAACCGATTATACTAAAGTCAGTTCTTATCTCTATTAACATATATGTTAAGTAATAGAAATATTAAAAAACATTTTTCTAACGAATTAAAAAAATAAAAGGTCTAAGATTATGTGCAAAACGTGCAAAAATATTTAAATAATATTAGTATTGTGAGAATGATATTTACATATAACAACAAAACGTTAATATTGACTTGAAAGGTCACAAAAAAACTTCAAAATATTTTGAGAAAGGAAAAAGAAAGAGATAAGATTTCTAAATTTTAATTTAACATTGTCTAGAAAATGCTAATTATTTTCGATACATAGTGCTTATAATTTATGTTTCTTATATTACATTTTAAAGATATGAAATATACATATGTAACACTTCTGTTATCTGTTATATTAATTTTAAAAGATTCATATTTTGCACACATTTCTATCTAAATAATGGAGAAATAATTATTAAATTAATGTAAATTTTTAAATACTTACTATACACGTTGTTTTTCCAGAAAAAATATATTTATAACAGAAGCGCGATTAGTAATTGTGTGACTGTGTTGCTTCTTATCATACGAAACATGTTGCCCTGTACGCGTGAAAATTATCAAAGAACATACTTAGAAGAGATAACGAGAATAGAAAGATGCGTCTTTTGAGACCATCGAAAAATCGTCAAAATAATTAGAAATATATTCCAATAAGAAACAATTTTAAATTATATTCGATTCAAATTTCACGTTTTCTTTTCATTATTTTATTTTTTGATTTTAAAATTAATTCTCGAAATCTGAATTCTTTTATTACATGGATTTTTACCTAGTTCCATTTATAATTTACTATTGTTTACGATACGGATTTTGCGATAGCAATTAAAAATGCAAACTTGCATGAAAAATTTAACGCATAGAAAATATTTGTTCTCAATGGATAGTTTCGCTCAGATTTTCTTCAATATTCAAATTTTTTTTTTAATCGACAATCGAACAATCGAACTCCTTGAAATTTAAAATACTTCGATTTTGAATTATCCAAATAATTCGATGATGAAAAGATCTTTTATTCAGGTTTCAACATATATTAGCAAACGGAAAGACTCTACACAAAATTCCCTTCTCCCATTTCAATCATTCTTTCGTAATGTAAATATTATTCTATTTCTTATAATCTTATATTCTTATATTTCGAGAGATTCTATACCAAGAATCAAATCCGAGCTTTCTTAGATTAATTAAGCAACCGCTTAGCATTTCAATTATTAATCAGCATAATTTCTACGAAAGAAATACGTTTCTCAGAATCCCTCCTTCCTCCCGCTCCTGTTCGAGAAAGATCGGATGACGAGCTTTCATCCCGCCGTGCAGTGGCACCGTCCGCGAACGTAACGCGAACTTTAATTCAATCCATCTCGGCTGATAAGCGAGACGACTCTCGCCGGATAAGAGCGAGAGACGAGACAAAGACGGAAGACTCGCGAGAGCGAAAAGGAGGATACGAGCATTACGCAATCGCCGTCGTCACGGCGCTTTTCGCGACAGGGGAGCAAAGGAGGGAGAGGAAGGAGGGAGAGGAAGGAGGGGCAGAGAGGAGGGGGGAAGGCGGCGCGACGGTAACACGCCAGCGCGACGTAGTACACGTTTTGATATACGGCAAGATGGCCGGATGGGCCCAGCTGTGGTGATATCTGTCGTTAGACGTTCCCGCTCGCATCAGAGGAAGAAGCGACGATACGAGTCCCTTCCGTTGCAGGAGTACCGGGAAACCCGACAGGACCCCTCGGCCCGTCAAATGGTGAGTGTCGACGCCGACTTCGGCCGTTTATCGCCCCACGATTTTCACGCGCATACGAAATGTCGCGCGTACCGGCGCCGTCCGCCGTCTGCTAGGCGCGCCGATTTTGAACGATCGAATCCGCACGTCCCGCCCCGCTCGTGCCGGGTCACGCTGAAGTCTGGCAATTTTGTACAAAAACCGATCGATTCCACGGGCGATCAGCCGCCATGTGCACGAATATTCGCGCGACGCTCGCGCGCTTTGAATAATAATAAAGATTACTCGCGATTACGCTCGAGCGTAATCTTTCTTTTTTTCATGTTTCTCTTTCCCGACTTCTTGCTCGATTAGATAGGAGGCCACGGTTTCTCCGCTGGGACCGACGATTTTATACAAAACCTACGCGATCGGCTGCCACGCGCGCGAATATAATTAGAATCATTCAGGATTATTCTCGAATGAGATCGGTTTTTTTTTTATGTTTTTCTTCCCTAACTTTTTGTTTGATTAGATAGGAACTGTAGTTTCGCAGCCGGCAATTTTACGCAAAACCACGCGCGAATATTCGCGCTTTAAATAAGTGAATCATTCGATTATCTTCTCTTTATATTTTCCTTTTCCAATTTCTTATTCGATTAAATAGAGACCGCATGTCAAAAGCAGAGAAAAGATATTTCGACGACGAAAAAAAGTTTTTTTTAAATTATCTTAAATTATTATTTCAAGAAATATAGTCAACTGGGCGAAACGCAATCGGGGTGCAAAAAAAAACTCCTCCTGTATTTACACGTTTCATCTTTTATTTCGTATCACGAAAGGAGATGAACCGTGGTGATCTCATTGGTATATTATTGTCCAGTCGATTCTTCTTACATGGATTAAATGATAAAATTGAAAAGATATTTCGACGATATTAACCACGATGCGTCAGTTCCTTGGATAGAGACGTGATGATTAATTGAATGATATCCTTTGTTCGGCCCAAGAAAAGATGATTCCGGGTGCCAATTAAAATCTCTATCAGCCAATCAAAGCGAAAGCACGCGAGGCTCATTCTCTTTCTTTCGCTCGGCAATGAGAGCGGCGGAAAAATCGTGTTGCATTGAGGAATCGTTTGTTATCTCGCGACTACGATTGTCGATCAACACGTGCTTCAAATTATCTCGTGGGCTGCTCTCTCGACAGGCACCGAGTGGAAATTCTCGCTTGTGATTATCGCGGGAAAATTTATCGTAACAGCATATTACGCCGATAATTCCGTAGAGCTCTGGTTTATCTAATCTGTTAACGATCGGCTATAAAACTTACTCGAAATTGATACCTGAATTCGGTAGTGATTTCTGCGAAAAATGAAACGTGGATTCGCAAGGGGGATTTTTTTCGTTTAATGCTCGCGTTCGATTATCGCCACGTCTATGATTTTGCATTTTTAACAATTTTTATTTATGTTTATTTTTATCAATAGAGATTAACTTTAATCCTACTTTAATCTACTCTTCTTTTTCTAACTTTTAAAACTAAGAAGATAAAAATCGCGCGCGTGCGCATTATTATTTATTTAATAACAACCATTGATGATTATTCCTCGCTCTTAATCTAATCTGATCTAATCTAATTAACTTAATGTTTGTTTTTTTTGTCATGATTAAATACTTTCCGTTGCAATTAAATTTTCGCACACCATAGTGTATTATAGTTAAATAACTATAGCAGGAGACACGATCGGAGTCTCCCTTTCGTTATTCTATCTTCGCGCGCATTTTTCTGCGCGATTTTTGGATTATGTCACCGCTATGAACGATCAAGTTTCTTCGAGTATATATTCTATGATACGTATATATATGTTGAATCACATCATATAGATTTGTAGTTATTTCGATACTGAAGGGTATTCGATTGAATTGTTTCTAAAAATATCTTACGTGATTACATCACGTAATCTTTTGAAGAATTTGAAAATGCAATCTATCGATTGTCATAAAATATTCATCGGTATCTTTACCACCAATTTTATTAATTTTTATTAATGTATTATTATTTTTCAGGCTTGACGAAATTGATTCTGTTATGTCAGTCAGTTTTATCAATATTTTAACACGATTTTATCAACCGTGAATTATGATAATCTTTGGTTAAATTTTATTTTTTATAAGTAATATGAGGAATTTTATTATTTTTTTTTATTTTTAATTCATAAATTGCTTTAATCTCCTCTTTTTGGAAAGTGTGTAACATTTTTCCGTGGTTATTTTGCTTTTGTGTAGTAGCGGTGAGAAATTGTTTCACGTATCGGCAAAGGTGATCACACGTTCGAGAGACGTGAGGAGTTGATCGTAAAACTGCGCATGCAAAATGCAAGATACTTCTATGTGCGAACTGCAAAATACGCCATGTGCAACTGGGACCTCTTTGGCGAACATCTCCGACATCGATCTCCAACTTCTCGATTTTTAAGCAGCAGCAGAAAGAATATCATTCAAGTTATTTCTCAACTTAACTTAATAATAATCGTAATATAACCAGCTGTGGTTTATATAAATAATCGATTTCCTAGGCAAAAATTGCATTTAAAATTACATCAAAATTACATAGAAAAATTAAGAGATTAATTTTCTTTAATTTCTTTCTTCTCCATATTTTTTTTTATCTTTTAAATTTAATGCGAAGCGCTTCGTTTTCGCGTTAAGAACTGCGCGATGCGACTTCTGAATGAATCATTGAGTCTATTGAGAAAACAAAGTTTGCAAATATTTCGCCAATATATATTGTCAATATATATTCCTTATCGTTATCATTTCTCTAGTATTGAATGCGATTCGCTACTGCGTTTCTCGTTGTCTCACGAACCTGTGATTCATACGTAATCTTGGTATCGCGATTAAGATCGTTTGCCACAAGATCATAATTTTAATATAACCGGTTGATATCTTATATGTATCTCATTTTTATTTACTTTTGATCGGTGTAAATATATGATGATCGTCAACAATCACTCACGAACAACTTGTCAGGCGACTCGCTTTGAGAATAAAAGGTTTTAACTAGATAGATAGATGTTTCTCCTTTTGATAAGCCACGTTTGATAAAAGCGTTTATGTTAATGTAACTTAACTTTTAAGCGGGACTTTGCAGCAACGCTCGCTTTCACTTCAGGGATGTCTGTGTTAATCTTAATTAGCAGTTACTTCATTCCACTCGCCCTTCCGTTAGGCTTATCGTTGCATCACAAAGTGACAAATGTGCCGTTTGAATAAAACGCTTATTGTAATTCGCCGATAATCTGGCGGATAAGCCAGCATTTGGCGACTCACGCAATTTTCCCTACGTTCGCGTATAAATAACGCAATCGTTTAATCGAACACTTCGTCATCGTGCGTGCAACGCAGACGAATTCTCCGTCCCTTCGATATTGTTTGTAAAATAATAACTGATTTCTTTTAATTGCAGCAGAAATTAATGGCTCTTTGATTATCATTATTGAAGGAGAAAGGTTCCCTCTTTTTGCAACCTCTCGTAAATTTAGCAACCTTTCACCTCCTGGATTGTACGTCTCTGAGCTTGCTAATATCGACATGTTTTTTTCGAAAAACGAAATTTTTATCGAACAATTAGCCGGACAAAGCGTGCAGCGACGATCCTTATCACGTTACGCTGCGAGATGACATGCTTATTATATGGCGGTGAAAGTTCACGCCGATTCCCGAAATTAACGTATCGAGATAAAATAAGATTTACATTAGAACAAAATTAAATCTCTCTACAAAATTAAATCTCTCGGATATCAGTGACAGAGACATATCTGTTTACCGAGTTAGCGAGTCGCGATTTTTTTCTGTGTGTATAGAAAAATGGATCATTTATCAATACGAAATAACCATATTTTCATGCTCGTATATATAATTTCTCTTATATTTATCTTTATAAATGCGTGATACAATGTATGATTATTTATTGTTTTTTGCGATATGAAAAATGGAGAAATTACAGTTTATAGCGTAATTTTGCCGAATGCAACTCATGTTTATTAATTATCATTGTAACACTCCAGGTTACAGTTGCATCACATATTTTATCTTTTTGGCAGTTATTATTGTCGTGTTTATATCTGTCGACCGGTAATAAAGATTAAAAGTGTCACGGTGGTCAACGAGTCAACAATTTAATCGCATTAGATTAAATTCATTGATCTCCTGTAAAGTTCAATATGCATAATTCGATTTCTCTCCCGAATAAATATCGATTCTCGAACGAGTTATCTTTTATCCTTAAATTTCTCTCTCTTTTAAACTGAAATAATACATGTAAATACATGTAAATGAAATTACGTGAGAACAGTTGTTTCTCGTTAGATCTTGTCGTTATAAAATGAATATTCACGAGATCGTTAAATTATATTTCTTTATTAGCGCCGACCGGAGAAGTGCGTAAAACATTGTATAATGTTTTTATTTTATTTTGTTTATAATGTTTTATTTTATTTTTATAGAATTATCATCGCGCTCATTTGTACTTGTCTAAATGGACGAGGGGATGTTATGCTTCCAATTCCGGTTGACGTAACGTAATGTACGATCGGCCATCTATTCCGGGATAGATATCGGGCTGACATCGTTCTTTGTCCTCCGCGAGTTTTCACAATGTTTCCACGTTTTGTTTACGCTCGATATCGAATTGGTTCATCTCCGCGTCGCGCGTAATTAAGAGTGATCGAAATGCAAATCGTACGAGTCGACCCGCACGCTTCGACGTGATGTAACACGTGTATGCTTAATTAGATCCTCGTTTACACACGATACGGCATTACACGGCGATAGCATTCGACGATGTATCGATTGTCGCCGGTGCGTATTGCATTTCCTTCCCCGACGTGGAATCGGAAAAGGCTGTCGAAGGACGCGCCGCGGTGGTGCGCGGGGATGAATACGTAATCTCGCGTCGCGAGATCGATGTAACACGATTATGAGGCTTCCCAGAAAGAATATCGCGACGATGAAACCGCGGAACCACACTGGGATCTATCCCCATGCTTGTTTCGTCAAATAACGTGATCGTAAACCGGTACAATCATGTTATTTCCGACGCGAGATCGCGTCTCGCGCTTCCGCCCCCGGAGCGAGATGCGAAAATAATCCCACTGACGTAATTTCAACGTTTCTCGATAAGATGACAAAACAATCGTCGATAAACTAGCCGCCGACGCCGACATCTCGAGTTTGGATTTTTCAAGAACGGGGCTGTGGTTTTTAGCGGTCCTCGATTCCATTCATCGATTGGGTTTTCTCTTGCCCGTTCTCGAGTATTTGGCACGCGGTTCCATCTGAACGATGCAGCGACCAGGGCGATCGATAAACCCGTAAACAACGATGCTTTCCTCCTCTGCAGTGGTTCATTCTTTGTTAAACGAAAGTAAATTAAACAGGAAGCGAATCCTTCGATATTGATCGCACACGGGATGACTTTGGTATTTCCTAACTTATGAATTTAGGATTTGCATAGATTTCGATGTAGGCAGATGTAAAGTGCGATATACTGTTTCTAGACGGATCGACAGAATTCGTGGTTCACGTGGGATTTTTCGAGGTCAGTGACTCCTGTGAACTATGGTTCAACCGCGTCCGCGTCTTCGTCGTCAGCTTCGTGATGACGCCTTTTTCTTCTTCCTCCTCCTCCTTCTTCTCCTTCTCCCTCCTGTACTTCACTTGGCATACGCACATCGAAAACCGATCATGCTCGCGAGGCGCCTAGCATTTTTTTGTAGGCGCCTCGCTCGCGCCGATAACATGGTAGACGATAACGTCCGGGCCAATCCGAACCAATAAATGCTGGGACTTTGCACTCATTCGACGCACACTGTTCGTTACTATCGTTCCCTTACGGCCACGCGCGATTCACGAATTCTCCTCCACGGTCGTCGTTGCATCATCGTCGGGAAGTCGCGGCGAGTTTCCGGCGTGCCGTTTGAAAGGGGAGAAAAAGCGCGAATTAGAGATCGTGCGGTATCGCCGTTGAACGGGTCACGATTACAAATTGGGGCACGACAAACATACAGATATGTCACCGCGATAGCGTAGAACGCGAAAGACGTTCTCCTCCGAATCTGTTCGATCTATTTCGTTGCCAACGCGAGATCTCGATATGGTCTCATCCCAAATAAAATAAATATCGCTGTGTGAGAATCGATTGCGCAGTGGCTAGATCCGTGGTGCAGTGTTGACGAAAAAAAAAAAAAAAAAATTAAGACCTCACGGAAGGGTGAATAGGGGTCTGTCGAGTCTCTCGGTCGAGATTCCCGGATCGAATTAAATATGCTGGATCGAAACGTGGTGCTTGTGCTGCGCACGAGGCAGGAGAGAACCGAGAGGCGTCTGAGGCACAAAAAGGAGGCGAATCCACCGCCGATGGAGCCGCCCGCGCTCCTGTTGAACAACAATCACCTTTACCTCGATATTAACATGAATTTCAGCGAGAACGTCAAGCAGGAGGCGGCCAGAACCGCGAGAAAGGTGGGTCCGAGTTTCCCCTCTCGTGCCACGCGCGAATCACGTAATTCGCGATCGCGTTCCCGAGATTCGTTACGAACTGTTAAATCGCGATTATTAAGAGCACCTCGATTGCGCGAGCCGTGACCGCCTCGACCCGTCGTGTAATGCGATTTCTCACGAAAACGTTGCCCCGGGCAGCGTTTCGTTGTGTAGGATACGTCTTTTCCTTTTCAGCGCAAGTTGGTATAATTATCGAGAGATACTTTCTCCGACTTACTTGCCTGGAACGTTGTATTATCGCAACGAGATCTGCCTTTGGCGGTGTGTGGGTGACGTTACAATTAGATTAGATGTATAATTCGTCACTAACTACCGGAACGTCGATTTTACCCGTGACGTAATATGTTACGTCGATGGGAAGTGAAGAAGACTCCTTCCCGTTAGCATTCTCTGTACGTAATGCGTGCGTGCCGCAGAAAGAATTTCATTCCTTAATACGTGGTTAATCGTTGATTTATACGTTTTCGCTAATGTGTAAAATGTAAAAGAGCTTTCTCAGTTTATGCAATTTGTATTTTTTAAGTAAAATATATTTTACTGATACTGATTTTTATGCATTAATTACCGCGCGGCACTCTCATTAATCCTTTTGTATTTTATGCATTGATTTAATATCGAAAATTCTTAATTTTTATTTCAATTTTCACTTTTCTGTTTTATCTTTTGTTTCGATGTTCAAAAGATTCGAGATGTAATCGCGATGCGCGCATGAAAAAAAAATCGAAAAGTAAAAAGGCGTTTCGAAAAGAAAAATTCTTATGAAAACTTGTCGCGATGAAATTTTGAAATGAAAATTAGTATCTGGTCAGAATTGTACGCTGTGCGATTCGAAACTTTCAAATCACTTGATCTCAAAAATATTTCATTTTATTAATTTTCTAAAATTGGACATTGAAAGGTTCGTTAAGTTTTTATTTTATTTATTTGTGAAGATTATGCAGAAAAACGACCGTATCAAATCTTTTAGCGGAGAAAAATTAACAGAAATTTTCCTTTGCTAAATATCCCTTTATTTACTGACCTTTCTTTTTATTACGCAATCGAGAGGGTCTTGCGTGTCTTTAAAATCGCGCGTTGTAGTGTCGGTCCACAATAGATGATTTAAGCTTTAAGAAGTAAAAAATTATTAATTGAATATAAAAAATTATAATTGAACCAATTATAATTGAATATGAAAAGAATAATCGACTATGATTGATCAATTTCTCACGACTTAAAAATTAAATACTTGTTGTGAACCGACACTTACAAGTCTGTCGCAAGTATAAGAACGTCATGAATACCTGAGATTGTTGACCAACGTGTCCTGCAACTTCTCTCCCCTGCGTGTCATTCTATACCGGCGGTTTGTGAGTCTTGCCACGCATACGTAGTCCTTCGTACGCACTTTCTATAGAAAAAAACTGTCCCGTGTCCATATGCACAATGTAATAGCGCAAGTAACCCGTAATGACTCACTAATAATACGTTCGACTATAATCATCGACTTAGGAACCACGCTTGACGATCTACGTCGTACAATAATTCGAAATTCGTTTATATAGCGAATGCATTGTTTTGTTTTGTCTGTTATATTAACTGCCAACAATTTTTCTTAATATTTAAGTAAAGAATAGACAAGGAAATATATGTAAATCAAAATGTGTGTTATTGCAACTTTATTGTGGGCAAAAGCAAAATGTAACTTAAAACTAAATTAAAATTCAGAGAATGAATTAATACAATAATTAAAAATAATATTATTAGTATCAATAATAATTATTATTATCACACCAATATTAATCACATAATAATTACAATCATATTGATAATACTAAATTATCGTTTTATATATCTTTACATATCTTTACCCTGATGTCTATTAAAAGGAGGAACGAATAAATAAAGTTCATATTAATGTAATCGAAATTTATATAATATTCATTAATCTAAAAATTCGTATTGTAGCGATTGAGAAATGTCGAGTTGCACTTGAGCGATGCAAAAAGAGAATAAACAAACTGAATTGACGATGCACGCATAATCAAGCATGGCCAATTAAGATTACGTCTTGAAAAGATTCATTTTAATCTCCTCGCATTAACGTTCTATTACCGCATTATTTCTTTATCAGCGGCTGATCCATCGCAGCTCGACTAATTAATTCTTAGAATAACGGCACAATCAAGGAATCAAATGCGCCTGCGAGAGAGGCACGCGAATTCCGTCGGACGCTTTATAAATCATTACGACGCCCGGCACATCGCATTAAAATCAAAGATCGGAAGCGGAAAGGAGCGATCTGCAACTTTCCAGTTAAAGTCACACCGCGAATTACTCCATTTCTCATCGGCACATCGATCGCGTGTGCGACCGGGAACTCGAAACCATCTCGAACGAAAAGTTTGGAAACTTTGAGGAACGTGAATTATTTTTATTATTTGGGAGGGGGGGGGGCGGGAAATGATGAAACTCGCGTGCATGATTTCGCTACGCGACGCGTTGTTCGTGCAAATAAACATTCCAAGTGATATGCTCGCATTCGCACTATTTGCGCTTATCGTCGAGCTACAGTGAACTTTATGTAACGTGCCTATTACGCGCGTGTGACAGCGGTGTAGCTTAACACTTGAAGGACCTGCGGCGAGCCGCACGCTCCTACTTGGACAGGATCGACATGAATCCGAAGGCAACGATATTTGTTATTTCATAGATATAGACGTAGATATAGATACATTTTAAAGACAGAGACAGCTGCAGATGTGCGTGTGTGATTTACACGTACGTACGCGCCCGCGGTCTTCGTACGCTGAAAAAAACCTGAGACCGGCTCGTATGGTGGGAGATACTTTCATGCCCCACTCCACTTTAGCACCTGATATTTTTATATCAACATTTAGTGCGACTCAGGACGCCATTGAGCCTGCAGTTGCCTCGATCACCTTGCATATAGTTTTCTAATTTTCTATTCTGTAATTTGATATTATTAATTTTTCTCTTAATTATCATCACGTTGACGGTCGTAAATATGCTTTTTCGGAATTTGACATCTTAATTGGTGTTTCAAGTGGTGGTAGTTCCAAGTGGTTCTTGATGTCTTCATGCCAACTTGGTACTTTAAGTGCGTTGTGAAAATTTCGAGAAAAGTGTAAGTGATGAAGTGTGCGAAATAAATGGAGATATTATATTACGATCCCTTGGAAATCTCTTGGAATTTGGAAATTGCCTGAAATTTCCTAAATATTTCCCTATACTATTGTTCGCCAGTCTTTAGAAGTACCTTTCCAGGTACAAAAGAAAGAAGAACAGATTCGATGAGTCTATCCTATTCTTTGAAGTTCATAAATCTGAATGGCGATCGCACCTTCATTGATCGACCGGCACCATTATCAAACCAAAAGTTTTCGATTTTATTGTGACCGCCCTCGAGTGATCCTTCGATCCTCAAATTTCCCCTCAGTCGTTTCGCGTGGAGAAAACTTGTGTTAAAGAGGAAAAGAAGAGGGATAAGTGAATTATCTGTTTGCGATCGAATCCGGTGTGGAGTTTTACGGTTTCCTAGCGCACGGCTGGGAAGCCAAACAACCCTCTACAAGAGCAAAGTGGAACGGAGGAAGCGGAAAACGTACAAAGTAAATCGGTTGTACGACTTGTCATCCGTTTTTTTCTATTCATTCATCCGATTCACTCGTGTTCTATATCGCGGTCGCGAATCCTCCCTTTCTCTCACATCATGGATCGCAGCATCGAGAGCACGAACGAGGGTGGCAGTTCACCAGACACGTTGATCGCTCGCTCCTCGTCGGAGGAGGAGAAACGAAAGTCAGTCGTGGCCAGCATCTCCGGGGAATACGTCACCGCATTAGGCGACAGCAGTTCCAGCCTCGACACCCTGACCGGCGGCAGCGTCGCGGCCCTCTCCTCCAGCGTCAACGCGGACGATCGAAAGAGGGGTAAATTCGGCGCGTTCAAGAGCAGCTTCCGCGAGGGCAGTTTATTCAAGATCAAAAAGAAGTCACGCGGGACCGGTCTTTCCCTTGAAGCGGAACAAGATGACAAAGGTTAATCGCGATGAACATCGCGCTTCTCACCCTCGTGAATTAAACAGGCGACGAAGGATGCATGAGTCATTTGCGAATCTTTTTAATCTGTTTTTCGAGCCGTTTTTTTATTTTTTATTTTTTTTTTTCTATATTACCAATTGCAAGATAGAAATGACATGCGGTTCTTGAGGAGCTATTTATCTTGACTCGCGTTTTCTTCTCTACTCAGAGATACCTCAGCAGCAACGGTTCGAGAACGAGAAGGACTCGAATTTGGTATCTGAAGTGCTTCTCAACGCAAATCTGAAGAAGAAAAAGAAGAAGTCGCACTCGCTGGTGCGCAAGCTGAGCCTGAATAAATTTCGCATTTCCTCGGAACAACAAGAGCTGCGACATACCCCGGAGGGTGGTAACAGCAGCCAATCGCAGAGTCGGTCCTCGCAAGAGTCGCCTATTCATACATCCAGCTCGACTGGACATATCGCGAAGAAGGAGAACGACGACGCTCTGGAGGGGGAAAAGGGGGCGAAGGAGGAGTTTAAGAAACCAGAAAAGTTGCTCGAGAAACCAACGAAGACCGTCATAGTGCAACGCAAATCACCGTCTCTGACTATCAAGGCCTTTGCCGTTCAGCAGGGTGAGCCTTCTGTGGATGTTATGGATCGCGAATATGAAACTTGTGCGAAATTGAAAAGCAAAGAATCCCGCGATATTCCGTTCTTAACGACGATTTTGTCCAGTCGCTTTTATATATTAAAAGAAATAAATAATTTTAAGGAGACACATCTTTTTAAGAAGAAAAATCTACATCTATTTGGATTTTTTTATTTCAATAAAATTCAATTACATTTTTTCAGATTTTATTTTTTTTAAGTACTACAATGCGTCTTAAGTCCCGCGCACAATGAAGAAAATCTTAGGAATAAATATTAAATTTTGGAAATGAAAATTGGGATCTTTATTCTGAATTTTCATCTTCAAAATTTAATATTTATTCCTAACATTTCCTCCATTGTGCGCAGAATCTCTTTCTATTTTACGCACACGAAAATTCGCTTGCAATATAACGCACTTAGAATCGCATGATTTGGCAATCGCTGATTTAGCAAAGCACCGATAATTATTTTGACTCGAGAAGTCGACAGTATTCCCGATAACAACCAGACATCCCGAAATTTCCTCAGACTCTGAACGACATTCGCAACAGGAGAATCAAGAGAACACCTCGCGTTCCGACGTGCGATGCAGCTCGACACTTCCGTATGCGTTATCGAGATGGCCGGAACGTAACGAGACGAAGTTTACCCATCCTGAGGATCCAACGGCCAGAAAAAGCAAAGCGAAGTACGATTCGGACTCCTCGGAATGTATACCGTCGACGTCGTCGCCCGTTGAGGTCCGCCGCAAATTATCGTTGCTGGAAGAGAAACGGGCGATATTTCAGCGACGCTTCTTCGATTCGGAATCCAAGTCGGACGCGACGGTGATCGACGTCAACACTCAGAACGAACTTTCGAGCGACGAGTTCCTCAAGCAGCGGGAGGAGGAAGGGAGGAAGAAGGTACGACACATCAGCGTGAGGACCTTCGACACGTTCTCCATTTTCGGTAACACCCTCGACGAGGAGGATCTCTCGGAGGATTGCAACGGCGAGGGCAGCAGTTATCGCAAATTTTACGCCAACATGGCTCCCATCCTGGGAGTCGTGGACCACCCTGAGGTGAGATCCATCGCGTAGGAGTTAGTAGAGTCGTTCTTGGTTGACACCACTACGTCCAACGTTTTGCGATATTGGGTAGCATATTGAATTGCGAAATAGAAGGTGTGTTATGCGAATGCACGATACAGCTTCGTCGTGCTGGAAATACGATAGCCTAAATCACCCCGTGTTGACGCGTTGCAACCACAATCCGATCAGCGAAGTCCTACTAGAAATAATAACTTGTTGGGAAGAACCAACTTTAAAATATATCATTTTTTTTTTAATGAACGATATTTATATGTATTTATTCATAAGAAATATCCCTGACGAGATGATTTTTAATGCTTTGGTATTAGGATCGAATGCATTAGATATTCTATTGCTAGCCTTGTGTGACACGCAATACGCAATTGCGGTACCTTTCCGATATCTATCCGCTGGCGATCTCGTACGTTACGCTTTCGTTCGTTACGGAGTTTCGAATTACGTGGTTTCGCGCGTTCTCTATTCTCGTGTCGCGTTTGAGAGAAGAAAAGGATACGCGCATGGATAACCGAGGTTGATCAAAATCGAAAGATTTATTCGTCGTAATCGTAAAGGAATAAAAATTTCGAAAGATGAACAATCGCTCCCGACGACTCTTCAATCATTCAGATTGCTGATAATACGCTCATCAAAACGCGAAAGGCTTATTATTGTTATTTATAGTTCTCGTGCGATCCCCCACGACCGTGCTCGGGAATAATTCTCCCACATGCCACAGACAGTCGGTTCATTTCGCTCACGCGAGCTGCGCCAGCGAGATCACTCGCGAGGAGCGCGATAAATTCTTGTCTTCGATCTTCTTCTCGGAGGTGCACGAAAAGTCGCGCGTAAACATGGATGTGGAATTAAAAATTTGGCGAAACCTAGAAATCCTCGATTTCGGCAAATGGAAGGTGCGGCCGAAGGAGTGGAAGTGGCTCGGGGTTTGTGTTGCGCAGGTGTTTGCGTTCCTAAAAAAAATTGCTTCTGTTATTTCTGTAATATCTGTAATAAGCGCTTGACGATTTAACGAATTATTTGTAATAATACCAATGTGCATTTTGTTTCTTCTTTGCGATTATAATAAAATGTATCGAGCGTTATTGGCTATTATCTTACCACGTTACCGCGCAGTCACTGTCTATAAAGGAGAATAAAAAGAAAATCAGTATTGTCTTCCGAGCGTATCGATATCTTGAAAACAAATATTATTCTTTGAGAGAGTATCTCGCGCTCACATGTTCATTGTTCACTTCCTTTTGTTGTTTCAGTCGTCGTCGAATAACGCACCGAATCTCGGAGTAAACGAGAAACGGGAGCACTTGTACAAAATATTGGTAATCGGCGAGCTCGGGGCGGGGAAAACGTCTATCATCAAGCGATACGTGCACCAATTCTTCTCTCAACACTATCGCGCAACGATTGGCGTCGACTTCGCACTCAAAGTGCTAAACTGGGATCCGCACACCATCATCAGACTGCAACTATGGGATATCGCAGGTCAATAGTAGCTCAAGTCTTTCCTTTTTTGGAGCTAATAATAGAATAAAGCTAACAATACTCGAGTGACTGATAGATTAACATTTCAACTGACGTTTGAGAGACGTCTTTGATAAACGCCTACAATTATTCAATCAGTTGCTTAAACCATCGTCGCCGAAAATGATTAACGCGAATATAAT